AAATCAAGTAGTTCTATAAACATATGAAAATCTTAAAAATTGACGGTATAAATAATATGTTGTAAAATACACTATTTCAGAGATTTAAAATCTAATTATTTTTCATGGTCATCCATCTCGATGTCGGGGATGATCAATCAAAGGGTTTTTCAACATTAAAACTACCTTTTCTGATAGATTTTTGAGGTGCATCCATAGTTTTATATTACAAGGTTGCATCCTTGTATAAACTTTTTTCATATAAGATATTTATCTTTTAAGAAACAAATCTCGTTACAATTGTAATCCCACATAATAAGAAACTCAATATAAGAAACTCACTATCTTGTAAACCACAAGATAGTAAACTTAATATCTTATTGTTATAACCTTTAACACAAGTATGTCGTAAGATAAAGTAAAAAAGATTTTGACCTTCGGATTTGAGTTTTTTTAAGTTGGATTGAATTAGTTCAATCTTAAGATGTTATTGTTTTAGGCACCCAAAGAATGCCTAGGAAATTTATGAAATTTTTATTTTTGGAAGTTGGAGAGTAGATTGAGGAAGTTACATCCTAAATTTTGGGTCCTAAAACATACTCCTAGATAGGGTTTCACAAGGGAGCATGAACATGCGGGGGTATATAATCTTTCTACTTAATTTATTCACTTTAGGAAATGAGACTAATCCCCTCTTTTATTTATTTTTAGTCACAAGCAATATTATTTGGGGAAGTTTAGTTTACCCTAATTACCCAAAAATGTTTAGTTTACCCTAAATTCTTTTTTTTGGGCACAAAACTATAATACGAGGAAAGACGATTTTAGCAAAAGACTAATGCATTATTGTCGGTCCACTCTGATATGAGATAATTACGATTGGACAAGTAGATATTTTCATACATGAATTATTTGGATAGCGACATGGAAAGCATACCCGGTTTTCATTTTTCCTTTAGGCTTGCTTTATATGAAACCCTATATCATAGGTAGCAAGTCAGGGAATATCAATAAATCTGACTCACCATAAAATAAAAAATAAATAGTTTTTATTTTAAAAAATCGGATGAAAAAATAGGATAAAAAATACGGATCGGTAAAAATACTTCATATAAAGATATTACTAATATATCAGATTGGGCTCAAAAAATCGGAGTCAAAAAATCATATAAATTTATAATATTAAAAATTCTAAAAAATAAAAATTACGTCAAAGTCATCAATTACTAATTCATCTATAAAAACTTTACTAGACTAATATATTTAAGTCAATTAATTTAGATGTCTCGTGACTCTCATCTAATCATCTAATATTAAATATATAATTAATTAGTATATACCAAAAAAAGTACCATATAAATCTACCCATTAAGTACTTTAAAAAACATCACATCTACTTATTACATACAAAAACAAATATACTATATAAATTTATTCATTAAAATACTTTAATATAGTATGGTGACAAATATACCATAAATTTATTCATTAAATACTTAAACATAACTCCTACTTAGCGGGTACTAAAAAATAAATACAATATTTTTTATTTCTCATTACAATTATTTAACTATGGTCACTCCATAACGATGGTTAAAGTTTTATAAATTTATTTAGTTGAAAGAAGTTCGTGGAAATTTGGGTTTTACATATGTGTTTTTGTGATGTATAATGCCAAAATATCAAGTTGGCGTGTCTTGTCTTTATGTCGATCGTTATAGGCCTCTTGAATATTCTCTTACCCAATTTTTGTTTTTTTGTGCGTAAGACGGATTTACTTAAGGAAGTACCATACAATTGATAGGAAGAAGAAAAGAAAAGAGAAGAAGGAAGAAAGAAGAGAAGAAAATATGACTCGGTTCATAGTCATTAGGGTTTATAGAGAGAAGAAGGTAGAAGAAAATGATTTTCACAAACCCTAATGAAAGGAGCCCTAACTAATTTTTAGAGAGAGAGAAAGAAGAACCCTAACTGTTTTTTAGAGAGAGAGAAAAAGAACCCTAATGGAATAGGCCCTAATTAATTTTTAGAGAGAGAAAAGGAAGATGAGGTGCTGATTTAGGAAGATGTGATGCTTATTTGGCCTAGTTTGAAGAGGGCTTTTCTCTCTAATTTGAGATAGTTTGAAGAAGGCTTTTTATTTTCTTGAGGAAACAGAGCTGACGGATTAGGTTTGAGAAACTAATGCTATATGTACAATTGCTTAAGTTTGAAAAACTAATGCTATATGTACAATTGCTTGCTCCTGTAAGTTTACAGTTTACACAATCAAAAACAAAATATTGATTACTTGGTCTTGTAGCCACACTCTTTGCTTCTCATTCATCAGTAAAGAATTATGCTTTGAGCTTTAATTTGTACCATTCACAGTATTTTCATAAAAACAATTATCACAAATAATCACAGCAATCTGCCTGTATATAATTTCTTTACGCAATGATTTACTTTACAAAATGATTTGCTATAAACCGTATTTCATTTACACACTGATTTTCCAAAAGGACAACTGAAATTTGCATTTATTTGATTAAGTTTTTAAAAAAAATCATACCATCAATCTGCAACTCTGGCTTTGAAGAACATAGTAGGGATAAAAGTTTCTATTTCAGTTTTTTTTTTTTGAAGTAATTTTTTTTCTTAAAAGTATGAAAGTAGTAATGACTGCAATAGACAAAACAGGAAAAAAAAATATTTTTCAAAAAATATATATAGGTAAAAAAAGATACGATTTTTTTCCCTGATTTAAATTGTATTATGAAAAAAACCTGTTTTAAAAAGGTTTATGAAAATTAAGCGATTTTTTGCCGACCTTTTCATAAAGTCACCGTTTAAAACTGTTTCCATAAAAATCCCGATTTTTTTAAAAAATCGCCGATTAAACGGTGATTTGCTAAGGATTCTCTTTTTCCTTTTGTCAAGTAAATTAACTGAAAAAATTCTCCCTTCCTTCCTCTCTTTCTCTTCTTTTCTTTTTCCAACAAAATTTATCAAAATACATTGAAGAGATGAACTATTTAATATTTTGACTATTTTTTTTAATTTAATTTAAAAATCTCATAAAAATACACTTAATCATGAGTTTGAACAATAGAAAATTAGTAAAATGCTAAAAAGTCGATAACTTAGGTGGACTTTGACAATATCCCTTCCTTCTTGGATATGGTACGCGCCAATTCACCCTGAACCCACAACCTCAGGGTTGTGATATTGGGTGTGCCTTTCTTAACTGCCCCCCTTTTTTTTCTTATGTTTTTTTTTTAAAAAAATATCAATAAGATTGTCGAACCGCCTCATAAAATCATTATATAGTGAAATCAACAAATTTATCGACAAAGTGATTGATTTAAAAGTAACTTCTCTTTTTTATTTATTGTTGAGAAATACCCATTTGGCTTGTTTTGGACATGGAATCTCGAACCAGGGTATTTTAATAATTTTCTCTATTATATTGCATGAGCCAACATAACACACATGCTCTGGCTTGTTCTAATACTTATACCTGAAATATGCTTTAATTTTGATTAAGACTTTTCGTTGTGAGTTTGGCATCCGAAATAAATATTAATCTTTGTTATTTTAAAGGGAAAAGTTTATATAGAACCTACCTCAAAAATTTCACTAGAAGATGTCATTTTGATGCCCAAATATCCTCAAATTGATCATCTCAACATCAAGATGCATGGACATGAGAAAAAAATGGATTTCAAGTTCTGAAAATAGTGTATTTTGTAACGCATATTTGAACTGTCAATTTTCAAGATTTTCAAGTTTTCATAGATCCGTCAATCTACACCGTTTTTTAAGCTTTAAAACTTATAAATAAAGTTAAAAATATATTTTAAGGCTATCACAGATTTTCAGTATTGAAACCACATTTCTTGAAGATAGGCTCTTTACAAACCGCACCCTATTCTAAAATACCTTTGCATTTTGAGAGTGACAAGGACATTTTAAATATTTTTTATACAGAGAAATATCTCTATATCTCTTATTTTTAGGTTTCATTTCTTTATAAACCCAAGTTTCAAAAGATGTCTTTTAATTCCCTAGCCACTTTAAACTTATTTTTTAACCTAAACAAATATGAAAAAGAAGTGCTTTTTTTAAACCCAATCATTTTTCTCTCTTCACTTTATATACTACAAACTCCTCTCTTTCTATCTCTTCTTGTGTCTCTCACTCTCTCTCTTCCTGTGTTTCTCAAAACACCTTTCTCTCTTCTTGATAACCTCTAACCTCCATGAAATCCAACCAAATCCTTTATCTCTCTTCACTTACTCTCTGAAATGTGAAGAGAGAGCGGGAGGGGAGAGAGATGGAAAAGAGAGAGAGAGAAAAAGGGTATAAGGGGAGAGAGAGAAAAATTTGGGAGGATGGATTTTAGAAAAAGCATATATTTTTAAATTTGTTTGGCCTAAAAAAAAGATTTAAATTAGTTTAGGGGGTTATAAGAAATAAAATCTATAATTTTTATGTCTCAATATATCTTTTAAAACTTTGAATCTCTTGTCAAATGAAACCTAAAAATAAAAAGTATGGAGAAATTTTCTCTAAATAAAATACTCAACAAAATATGTGAGTGAAATAATCTCATTACAACAACCACTTTGATGACATAATGTTTGATTTAGCCATCTTCATAATTTTTGGGTGGTCATAACCATTTGATTTTGAGGTAGTTATAACCTGATTTTATCATTTTAATGATTTTCCCTGTCTTTTTTTTTTATCCTTTCTATTTTAGTTCCAACATGATTCGAGCAAGGCCCTTTGCTCAGTGAAAGTGTTCAACCTTTGAGGTTATGGCTTCATACCCCGATTAAACGTTTTATTAAAGAAACATTTTAAGAACGAAAATAGTTTAATGGCAAAAGAGGTGGTTCCTCATATTTCACTATTTGATAAGATTACAGAAAGACCGTAGACTCTACCTTTAATAATTTAGGTTGGGTGATGGCTACAGGCTTATACCCATCAAATCATACAACTAAAAAAATGACTCCCAAGTATTTGTCAACATCGATGCAAATATATGTAAATATATTTAGCAAAGTGTTGGGTGTGTCGGCCGACTCAGTTGTAGGTGTGTGTCCCCCTTCGATCCGGAACTTTGGGATTTTTTAATCTGAATTATAATGGTGATTGTGAATTTGCTTTCCATTTTAACATATAGTGAAAGCATTTTTTTTGACGTCCATATCTAAGGTAGACATCTAGGGAACACACCGATTCACCAAAACCATGTCCAATATAATTATAATTATAGGAGAGTATGTACTATTTAATAAGGATGCGGTTTGTATAAGGCAAAGGCCTTCAACGAGCAAAGTAAGGTGCACCTTCAAATATGTTGTTTTAGTATCAGAAATTTTCAAAAGGACCTGAAAATTATTTTCATTTCTACTTTTAGAATTTAAATATTAAAAAACAGTATAGATCAAGCAGATCTATATACACTTGAAAAACTTGAAAATTGACGGTCTAGATAATACGTTATGAAATGCGCTATTTCCAAAACTTAAAATCTATTTTTTCTCATGTAGATAAATCTTGAGGTTGAGATGAACGAATTGAAGGTTTTTCAGCATCGAAATAACCTCTTTTTGTGATTTTTTAACACACACGTAATTTTATTGTTTAGGGCCTCTACCTTATATAAACTCTTTTTTTATTCAATAAATATGTATAATTATAGTTATATGAGAGAGTATACATGACAAAAAAAAAAAAAGTTATACGAGAGCGTATACAATAAGACAATTTATTTTCATTCCACATAAAATAAAAGAATAAGACAAAAATAACACAAAGAGTCCCCAATTCCTTAACCAGCCGACGTGCAATTGGGCAAGAAAAATATATAATTGACTACAGCCAAGTTTCAGAAAATTTCCTCACACACAAATACAATTCACCGCCAGCCATCCATTTTTATGCCCATCGCCATGGGGTGTTTGTTACTTGTGTACCAAAAAGGTATGGGTCTATATTGTAAAAAAAAAAAAAAAAAAAATAAGAAAAAAAAAAAAAAAAAAAAAGAAAGAAAAAAAAAAAAACAGAAAAAAGAAAAAGAAATAAAGAAGAGAAAGAAAAAGGAGAAGAAGAAGGGGAACGTATGCTTCTCATCACGTCATTGTATCCGATCAAAGCATCCTACCGTGAACTTCTAAAAAAAAAAAAGCAAGCGTTCTATACTTCCCATAATGCTAGTTATACATTCTTTTTGTACACTTCCCTTAATGTTACTAGTTATATAGTCTACACTGCTTTTATGTTTAATTTTTTTCTACAAAACATTTTGACCTCAAATTTTGGGGGTCCGCTCCTCTCTTAAACTCGCATCCATAAAAACTATAAAAAGAAATACTCACGACAAATAAAATAATCAAAATACCCCTAAATGTTTTATAGCATTTTAGTTATTTTATTTTATTAAAAAATATTTTTTTAGGTACACCCCATTGAGATGATGAGACATACCAAATTTCATATTCATATAATTTGTAAAATAAAAACTAAAAATAAAATCCTCTAAGAAGTCAGATCTAGATCAAATATTCAATGAATTATTTGATCTAAATTGAAAAGGCCGGATGTGAGGAAGTATAGAACTTCTATAAAGTAAAAGTAAAGTATAAACCTTTCCCAAAAAAGAAAAGAAAGACAAAAGAATTTGTATCAATAACGATACAATGAACACATCAGGCATAAAATTCTAGTGCACTCTCTCATGCTAATCAAGTTCAAATCCTTACGCCAAACTATCGAAAAAAAAAAAAAGCAAAAAAAAAGAGAAGAAAGCGGGAAGCATCAGAATCAATAAAGAAAGATACAATGAAGGCATCGGCAACCAAATGAAATATTAGTGCACCCTCTCGTGTCAAACCGAACCATCAAAAAAAGAAAAGAAAAGAACACGAGAAGCATCCGAACCAATAAAGAAAGATATAATGAGAACATGCAATTGACACCCAACTTGATTTCTTTAATGGTTAAATTTTGCATCTTCAAAAGTAGGGTTACAAAGAATATTTCGAACTCTTCCCCCTTGGATGATTTCTTTCCTAATCCATTTTAATGCAAATGCAACAATATAATATACATCAAAGTTGGACCAGAAACCCCCAAAAAAAAAAAACAAAAACAAGTGGCATCACATGACAATGTTTTAGAAGGGGGGATTTCATTACAGTAAGGACGGTATGCTGAACACTAGTATGCATATTAGCATAAGAGACACAAGTGATACTACACCTCCAATCCTGTGGGCCAGAACGATTGGACCATCTTAGTTGAATTTTATGGTATTTTGCTAGAAATACTTGAAAAAACTGGAGAAAATCCATTGCCCTACACAAATTATACAAGATCATTCATTTTTTGGTACTAAATGGTTTCTAACGTTTAAATGTAAAATCTAGAAAGCGTGTGCCATGTATACATTTCTATAAATCACAAATTCTAAGTTTTCAAGTTTTAAAAGATCAATTAAACTAAGTTCTCAAGCAACAAATGGTATCTAAATCTTAATGAAGACTAAGAAATTTGTACAAATATACAACATTTACAGGGACAAAAAGCATCAAGTAAATCAAGCTGCAGCCCTAAGCAAATGAAGCTTCACCACCTGAGCAAACATCCAACAACCTAACTTCAGCACCCAATTCCAAAACCCTAGTCCTCCTCTTCAACCTCACTAGCTCGTCCTCCATACAAACCATCCTCTCCTTAAGCATCACGCACTCTGCCTCCAAATGAGCGATCTGATCATCCTGGTCCCTGATTCTAATGGCGAGAATCCGGGGCCCCAAGCAAGAAGAGTTAGGCCAAGAACTCAATAGCTCAAGCCTCCCGGCATCAACATCTTCATCAAACAGTAATCTCTTCTCCACCTTCTCTTCAATTTGCTTCAAGCCCTCGGCTTCGCTAGTTCCTTTGCCGGCCTCTCGAACCTTAAGCAATCCTTTCATCGAGCCATAGCTATCAAAGATTGGTGAAGGAGAACACACAAGTGGTGTGATTTCACAGTTCTTTGCTCTAATGATATAAGAAGTTGTGTTGAGGGGAGCACTTGGGGTGTCCTCAAAGTGAAGGTCGTGGTGTTTCTTGGTTGGTTTCTTGGCCTTGAAATGGTTTTTGTGATGGTGGGGTTCCAAGTACATGAGATTCCACTCACATGGAAGGCAGTTCCTATTTCTTCGATTGTTGCTCCAAGATCCCTTTGATTTAAAGGGGTAGCTATTTCCTGTTCTCATCCTAAGCTCTCTGAAAATTACGAAATAAATATCAAAACATGGAAGAACCCATCACCAAAATGCTTAATAGAAATATCAAGATCTAAAAGAACAAGAGATGGAAAAATTCATCACCAAAACGGCTAATTCAAAAACACCCAAGGAAAAGGAAAACCCAATGATTTGAAATGGCATTTTCCCTTTTAGAAGAGTCCCGTGAAAACAAATCCAAAAATATAAAGAACACAACCCAAAGATGAGTTACAAGGAGAGGATAAAGCATTAATACAAGAAAAGGGAAGAAGGCAAGGTACATAGTGCTTGGAAGACTCTGGATGGTGGAGATTCAACCATGTGTCAATGGACGGTAGATCATAAATACATTTGTTATAAAGCAACTCTGCCCATAGACTTAGGAAAGGGACAACCTAGTTTTTAAAGCTCTTCAAAGGGTAGAGTAAACCGCTGGTGTATGAGGCATTAGTATTTCCTGCATCATAAGGTCATCACCGTCCAATTTCGAAAATGGACAGTGCGGATACTGAGGGGCTGGAAAGCTTAATCGCCAGCGCCCAACATCTCCATTACTGGAAAACTGAAGAACCTGATGATGCACCACATAACCATACACCGCTGGTCCCCTAAAATTTATGACGCATCCCTTTCAGCAACCGAGAGACCATATGCTTTCTTATCCACCCCCTCTACTCAAAATAAAGAACAACCAAACACTCTTAATCACAAATATTAAAGACCTCAAGAAATACCCTCTATTTCCAAAATAATTGCAACCTCACCCCCCGACAGGTTTTGGACCCAAGCTTATCTCAAGAGAAAAACAAAAAGTGGGTAGGAATCCAACAAAGCCCATCACGACCCTTATCCTTGACCCAACCCAAAATTAATGTATTTTTCAAAATAAAAAAACTGAATAAATAATACAATAACGGATTTTATAAAAGATCAAGTTTATCTTGAGAAGATTCTAGATCCAAATCTCACCTGCAAATTAAATCAAGCAAAAGACTTTGGCTCCCCCAACCATCGAGAAATGGCAACCAGTTGGGATCTCCAGAAGAAAATTATTACAAAATTTTTTTAGAGAAATAGAGAAGTAAAACCCTTTCTCTAAAGCCTCTGGGTAAATAGATCAGCAACTGCTTCAGCCAAACAAACTATGGCTTTAGAAAACAGCATCCAAACAGACACATAACGCATCAGTGAAGGCATTGATCCTCAATTTTTAGCAAAAGCCAAAAAACAGAAAACCCAACTTAACTGGCATCTCGATCTCAGTTTTCTCTCAAATAAAAATACCCAATATTGTCATTAAAGCACTTCTTATTTCAACAACCATTTAATAGAAACGCTATTGCCTTGTGCTAGCTTGGGGGCAAAAGAGAAGCTGGTTCTTCCCTATCTAAAGGGGTGTTTAACTTTGACATGAACTAAATCAATGATAGCCGTCGGACGTAGGTGGACGGATGAGATGAGGCCAAGAAGCTGAGCTGGGAAAAAGTGGGTCCTTATCTTCTCCTTTAATCCAGTGCAATTATAACTCCCACCATCAACGCTAATTGCCCAAAAATACCAAGACGGGGAGATGATGTCAGCCCTAGGACCGGGTAAAAGGGGCCCAGATGTATGAGGTCGCCTATTATAGAATGGATGCCGTTTCTATAGAGCCCACCTTCGAAAAGTTTTGAAAAATATAGTTTCAATACTGAAAAATTTGGTGATAATTTTAAATTATATTTTCATCTTTAGTTATAAAATTTAAAGTTTCAAAAATAATATATATCGAATGTATCTATGAAAATTTTGAAACTTAACTGTTCAACAATGCGTTACAAGATGTACTGATGCACTATTTTCAAAACTTGAAGTCTATTTTTTTTTTTTTTTCATGTACATGCATCTTGATGTCAAGTGACCAATTTGATGATATTTGAGCATAAAAACATCTTCCAATGAAAGTTTTGAGATAGGCTCTAATTTGATTGTTTGGTGCCACTTTTTCCTTACAGAATATTCGAGACATTAGACTGAGACCAGTGATTCCAAAACAAAAAGGCATGCCAAGAAAATGTGTGTCCGTCTAAAAAATTCAATGAAAAAAGGAATTTATTTACACAGATAAAATAATAATATATTCATATACCAATAAAGTGGGGTAAAGGATCATCTTTCGGAGATTTTCTCAGATAGGCCTGTTTGGAAAGTGGTGTTCGTTTTGTGATTGTGATTATTGGTGGAAAATGAAAATCATATATATATATATATATATATATATATATATATATACACACACACAAAGAGATCATTTGCTTTTAGCACAAGAAGTCACAATTACTCTTGTTTGTCAAATTCCAAATTAAATGGTTGTAAGAGTATCATTAACTAGACTCAAACTTCAAAAAAAAATTTCTTGGTTTTCATGACATATCTCAAACCATCCAATATGACATCTACTTGCAAATCGACAATCTCATTGTATACAATCCCCAAAAAAATAACAAAAAGGAAAGGTATAAGGACGTAAAAATCAAAAAGTTTAAACACATTGTCAACATGATTCTGCCACTTGAATACCCTCCAATTGATCATCTCCTCGAGATTTATGGATAAATATATAGCTTTCATATTATAAAAATAATACATCTTGCAACATATTATCTGGTCCATCTATTTTTAAGATTTTCGAATGTTTATAGATACGTTTGATTTAATGTACACCAATTTGAAACATACAATTTTATAATTATTGTTGAAGGAAGAATTTTACGTCGTCCTAAGGTTTCCAACATTAAAATTGCAGCTTTTGACCGAGTTTAATGGTGCATCTTCCTTTGATTATTTAAGATGGATCCCTTATACATACCTCCCGCTTAGCAATTATAATGATCGTAGGATCACATATGATGTTGATTTAAGGAAAAGACCAAATTAAACTTGTATTGAGAACGATCTAGCTCAGTATTTAGTAATGCCACAATGCATATAGTTGCAGATTAAATCTCACCAGAAAAATCAGTCCCGGCATCAAATTTATGTATATCCCTCACCTCCACCACAATGAATAAGGATTAGAAGAGAAAAAATGTTGATTTCAGGCCCTAAAAATTGTTCGTCTCGCAGCACAACCGTCCATGCCAAGTCTTCATAAATGCGTTGAATCCTGCATCATTTTTGGAGCTTCCAATTCTATGGTATGGTTAGAAATGGATTTACGCCAGATCTACGTTTTTCCAATGGGGTTCTAAAGTGCAACACCACAACATTTCCAAAACCATACATGCAAATACATCTTTCGGCATAGTTTTTGAGGTGCACCTTACTTCTACAGGATAAAGTTGAAACCATATATAAACTTTTTCATATATGGGTGTGATTTGTATAAGGTACCAACATTAAATAATCAAAATAAGATGCACCTCCAAACTGTTCGAAAGGGTGTAGTTCAAGTAACGGAAACCCCTGTGGTGACTGAAAATATATTTTTACCCCTAACGATGAAATTTAAAAGTTTAGAAATAGGGCAGATCTAACATATTTATAAAAACTTGAAAATATTGAAAATGAAAGGTCACATAATGCGATAATGACATGCACCATTTTGAGGACTTGATAATTTTTTTTTTTTCATATCCACACATCTTAAAGTCGAGATGATCAATTGAAGGATTTTACAGTATCAAATAAACCTTTTACAGTGGGCTTTCGGTATGCAGCTTACTATAAAGCAGAATATCACAATAGTTCAAAAAGTTACAAAACAAAGTAAACTACCCGAAGTCCACATATGAGAATTGGAATATTTTGTTTCTTCAAAAATGAGGAAGCTATCATTGATCCACACGGCTATGTGATGAAACCTTAGATGAAGCCAAAAATTTGGGAAATCCAGTGAGAGGGGGTAGCTGTTCAGAGTCCCAAACTTCAAATCTTCTGTAATCTTAATAAGCTGTTTTCCTTCATACAAGTCGAAAACTTCCACACTCTTTGTTCGGGCTGCCCAAAAGATGAGCTCATTTGGTTATTCAGTACGGGTGTCTACCATACTAGTACCATACTAGTACAGTTGAGATAAACTGTTCATCCATTTGAGCAATGTTCACATAATAGAACTTATCATGCCAATATATAGATAGAATGGTTGAGACTTAAGACTACATTTGGTACACATGATATGGTGTACAAACAATCCCTTTTATCAGAACATTTAAATCAGGGGCCTTTCCCTTTTGTTTTCAGATAGGAGGTCAAAATCCAAACTGAGAAACAGTAACCACACCATTTTATAAAAAGGCCAAATTGCTCATATCATTGGGTATCCATAGCCAACATTACTTGTTGCATGCCCAATTGTTGTCCACCAATTTTTTATGGGCATAATATCCATGATTTTCATATGTATAAAATCCAATCTTTGAATAAAAGGATATGTGGCTATATTTGATCTTTACCTTCATTTAGATGGTTGAATTTTTAGTAGTTTGCTTTCCCAGACATAAATTGAACATGCCACAGCACACTCGGCAGAACTAAAAGCAATAATATAATATCGAAGCAAAGAAATCACCTGAGTCATGGTTCCTTGAGCATTTCGCACATAAACATGCTCTGATGAGTATGACTACCTCCTCAGCATGTATTGTCCATCTCTGAATTCTAATTTCTCTTCAGAAATTAGACCAGACAGGAAGCTCTGCAGCTGTTGGAGAGACTTGTCGTAATGAAGGTCAGTGCCACAGAACATCTGCCACACAAGAATGCAGAATATGTTACATGAAGAATGACATGTATCCCCAGTCTTACAACCCCAGTCTTACAAGATAATATCTGCCAAAAAAAATTAGAGAAAATAGTATCCATAAAAGGGTCCCAACGCTTAAAGATAATCTTGCAAATACCTTTAGCGTGTTGTGGATTCGATCCAATGGCATAGTGCCAAAGTTTGTCAGCATTCCAATAATAAATTTCTACATCCAACAAAAACATTTGTAAGATCATTGCGATATATTAAAAAGTGAAATCCACAGAATTCTCGTAATATCTAAAGGTTCTCATGGATCAAAGTTGTAATGATTAGCAAATAACAGATTAACTAAATTCACATATGAAACTTTATCATGTCCAAATTATTTGATGGTAATGTGGTTCTCTGTGATGCCAATGGTTTGTTAATATGCCTTTCTATGATAAAAGAGTGATACAAGTAAAAAAAAGGCAAAAAAAAAAAAGGAGAGTGGCCATGCCACATTCATGTATAATCAGAATTTATCTTTCTCTTTCATTAATCCAAGGGTTCGGGTTGCTCAACACCAAAAAGAAAACAAAGATTGATACAGGGTTCATAAAAGAGCAACTACATGAGAATCGGTCTACTTCAAGATCTAGGAACTATACTTTCCAATGAATGGTAACTCTGAAATGTGAAATCCATAATACTTTTGAGGGAACTTAGGGGTAGTACCAATATGCGATAAAATGATGAAAGTAGACTTAGTGGTCTGATCATATGCAGCGTCGACATAGAACAACACCGGTTAGGATGGGTGATTTGGTTCAAGTGGAAGGCTCTAAAAGGGCAAGAAGAAGGCCCCAAAAGATATAGATAGAAGTAATGAAAAAAGATATGGTGACTTATGGTTTGACTGAGGGTATGGCCCTTGACAGGGGGGTATGGCGGAACGAGATTGGTGTAGCTGATTCCAAATAGTTGGGAGAAGGCTCAGATGATGATGACAATATACACACACACACAAATGAAGGCAAACAATACTTGGTTGATGGCAAAATATGGAAGCCCACGAAGAAATGGAAGTTGGAATTGTATGACTCACAGATATAATATAATTAGCCATGCAGGATTATGAAGTAAGCTATAAATGATGCTTTACTGTCCAAGGTAGCACTAAGAATGCAAACCTCATAAATGGTCATTTCTTTCTGGAGTTGATCCTCAACAGAAGCCATCGATCTCTCACCCTCCTCATCAGCAGCAAGAAGCCCCTCACAGCTCCCACTGTTGATGATATTCCTGTTTGCATCACTGACATCTTCAAGAAGAGTAAATACATGATCGTCGCATTCTGATCCTACTGACTCCACTATGACACCCTTAGACCAACAAACAAAAATCAAAGTCAGCACCAAGGTAGTGCAAGATGATACAATTGTTCCATTCTAAAGTATCCAATGCTTTTGGCAGCATGCCTGGGAAAAAGCCCAACATCATAAATGCAAATTGAAAACAAATAAGCAAATAATATTCAGAAGATCATGGCAATTGATATTTGTGAGAACTTTTCTAGTGAAAAATTGGGTACAATACAGCTGTTTCAGAGAATAATATTAAATTGACAAAGAACAAGTCAGGAACCCTGATTAATTGTGGAAAGAGTTCAGTGGTAATTCAGTGAAGAGAGAATTGACAATCACAATTCTCTATATGTAATCAAGCCAACCCTGAAATTGAAACAAATGAATCGCATAGGAAGGATCAAGTCAAGAAACCATCATAATGGAAGAAATTCTGAATCAAACCTTGCTTATCCAAAAACTTATCCTTCTATTAAGAGTATCCACAGGCACCCCAACAGCAACGGCAAGGTTCTTAGAAGTCCAACTGTGATTAGAGGAAGAGAATAAAGATCATCGTTAAGGCAACATCATTTGAAAGAGAGCTTTGCAGGCTTACTATGATGATAAGAGACAAATGGTCCAGAATAGGTGAATAATATAGTATATTCTTAAGAAATATTATTATATTGAAAGCAATGCTTCAAAACCAATCAGTGGAGCAGATCACCTACACCACATATCCATGTCACATTGTTGGATCGATCCGAATCGACAATTCAGAAAAATATTAAAAATTAATAAGTAAAATAAAAATTAAATAGGGCTTTATGGGGTGAGAGATTTACATAAAATAAGCTTAAAGAAAAGGAAAAAAATGAAATTTTGTTTTTTTTTTTTTTGGGGGGGGGGTTGTGTGTGGAGGAAGGGTTGAACCTATATCTTTGCAGAACTGGTTTGATCCAGACTGATTCCCAATCTGGATCGGCGATTCGCGATCCAAATTGCCAAAATTTTAAAGAACTTTGAAAGGCATCTCAAAGACATTGAGTTATTGAAAACATCCTCCAGAAACGGTGAATAGGAGGAACATACACTAGAATTCAATGCTTAAAATTTTCCATGTTAGATTTGTTCGAACCGTGTTTGTTCTTGGAAATGCATTATAATTGCCGCATGAACTGGAGCCACATTGAATTGGAGGGAACGATCTTCGAACTGCAGTTCTAACTGTCATGGAAAAATAAAAATACCATAAGCTGCCTAAAAGTATGAAAGTGTAAATTGGAGATTTCAGAGGCAATTTGCATGCCCAGCAGCAGAATGGATTTTTGATAAACAAATTAGGGAAAGGCCATACACATGCTTAAGTTTTTTAACCTTGACAGTCCCCAGATTTTTCTTCCATAGAAGTTTTCGGGGAGTTTTGATTTCATGGAATCTCTTTGCGTAATCATCAAGCAATTTGTCCATTGCTGCAGGAATATTGACAGATTCTGCCTGAAAATTTCCAAGGTCAATCACAAAGCAATAAAATATTTGTAACTAAGCAAAAGAAGAATGCCTCATGCATGAAGAAGCGAAAGTGAATCGCTAATGCCATTTACCCAAAAGAATCATGTTAGTACAGATATGATACTTCAAGAAAGCATTTCTGGGAGAACCCTGCACACACAAACAAACGCACACAAACAAACACACACAAACACAAAGAGGCATAGTCATGGAGTCTCCAAACAAACAACAATAGTGTTGAACATTTTACAACAAATGGGTATGATTGTGCAAACGTCCTGTGTGATGGCTATGCACAAAAAACAGACATAACAAACAGATATGCAAGCAATGTAAATATGCAATGCACTGCACTTATTCCTTTATCCAATATATTAGATAGAATTCACACACTATTAATGGACGAAATACAAACAAGAAACCACACACTGTAGCATACTAGAATCAAAGATTCATCTAAATCTTAGACCTGTTGGTAAGAAACACAACCTATTACCTGAAATGGAGGCCAGAAATTCGAAGATATTATGGTAGCATCAAGATGATCAAGTAACAGTTCATTATCTCCTTGATCAATTCCTACATGCACACAAAGCAAACGAATTATATCCCCCAACAATAAAATGAAGCCAAGATGTTCTATTGCGAAATGCCTATTTGAAAATAATTAGAGAACAGCAACATTGCCAGGACATAAGCTCTGTGACTGGTGAAAGACCTTTCTGAGATAGCTGTGTCAAACTCGCCTTAATATTGGCGTTTGTTCGCTTGGAGTCAATCAGGTCATTCAGCATAATTTCACACCTTTGCATGCTGCTCTCTCCAAAATGTATCTAGGAATAAAAACAAACATGCAATTCAATAATACCAGCTATAGTATGAAGAATACCAATGTAGCCTCCAGTTGCTAATATGGAAACATGAGAACCATGAAAATTCATGGTAGTTATCTAAGTATGAATTACAAAAATAAATAAATAAAACTCCTATAGATATTTCACAGCGAAGCATACCTTAAGGAGTTCTAGAGTACGAATTTCTGAGTCAATTTCATAGTCAGATTTGTTCAGCAGCTTTTCAGCCAGCATAACACGATACTCATTTACAAGCTGATCTTTTGAGCCAATTATGTTGACAATCATTCCAAGAATGTCAATCTTCCTTCTGTTCCTGCTTCCCTTTAATGGATCCGCATCTATTGGGTCAGGTTCCCAGCTGATACAAAATTACAAACAAAATAAACATGATAGGGCATTTCAAAGTAAGTTAGCTCCAAAAAACAAACAATCAATTAAAAGTTCAAAATAATACGAAAAGACATTCTCCAGAATTAAAACATTCTTCAAGACTCAGAATAAAGTATATCCTTTGTCTGAATGATAAGTCAAGAGTATATCTTCAACGCATCAACCATCTAAGAACGACACCTCTGAGCAGTAGACCACGCTTGCTTGTCCTCAGAGTCAAATTCATCATCATAAATGCTAGTCTCCTGCTCTCCTGCATCCCTAATCAATTCTTCAAGGAGGCTATCTCCAGTACTTCCTGGTCCACTAGAATTTCCACCACTACCATCAGTAAGCATGGTCACAAGGCATTTTATAGTGTCCTTTCTTCCTCTTAAATAGTCCCTTATTGGCTCCCCCACTGCTTCAAGGAACACACCAGTTGGATCAATTGTTCGCAGTGCTTTGATAGTTGATACATATTGGTGCAAAATGTCATTTGTCGAAGCACCAGCTGTTAGCAGTCGATATCTTAGGGCAGAAATAAATGAATCAACAAGCTTTGAATGTTGTCCAGTATTTTCAAGACAGTGCTTCAAGTCTTCAATTGCAGGACAGCTGCTCGTGATACACATTCAGGTCAGAAAATTTTATACCAAAAACATATAACTGAGACTCATCTAAAAATAAGAAGAACAAATGGAATGATGTATACAAAAAGAGATAAGTGAATGCAGGCTCGGAAACACTGGTTCCCTGTAGGCTTGCACAGGGCGGGCTTGCATATGAACAAATGTTATAGAAAATATATTCAGAGTGGACATGCAAAAAACATGCGTACGTCACACAAAAGCACACAGAGATAACATACATGATCGCACGTCTGCACATGTCCATAAATGCTTCATGAATCATGAGTTTATGACCATCCAAATATAATTACAGCAAGCTAGTCCCGCTCACTGGCATCATACACAGCTCAAGCAGCAATATAGCATTTTCTTTGTTTATGCAGAAAAGATGCTTTCCTTAGAAATTCAGTTAAGTGGCTCACACTAACATCAAGAATCAATGAGTTGCCCAATTTAGCAGTTGCAATGAAATGACCTAGGATGTAGATAAGAAAGCAAGTAGAACGCAAGCTTACTGGTATAAGATAAACAAAACAAACTTAAACAGGAAAGGGCACAGAGAAATAGCACTCCACCTATCAGGGTAATCCACAATGATTTCAAAAAGTTTGTCAATCCTTAGATCTTGCAACGTCTCATAGGCGAAATATTCAAGGCGCAACTTCCATCTGATGAGCCCTTCAGAAGGGCTTTCTTGCCCGAAATCCAATGGAGGACAAGAAGCCAGGGGCGAAATGTAACCAGATGAACCCTTTTCATGGCCAATTGAATCCCCCAAATATGAAAGAAGAGCTGATAGAAACTGTAGAGGAACAGCCTGCGTACAAAAATGACATTACGATCACGTGTTAAAATAACCTAGACAAGAAAGCAAGTAAACAAAATACAATGCAAATGAAGGATATCTGAAATGAGACAAGAAAATCCATAACCTTAAACTAGGAACAATACAACAGACAAATGGTACTGTCAGGAAACTATATCCAACCATTACCTGAATCCACTCTTTGATGGAGTCTAATACTGGAGTTCGATAATCATCTCCAGCCAAAATTTCAACTTTTCTCTGTCATTTGGATGTAAAAAATACATGAGTAGCCAATACTATACCTTCGGCTTCATAATATGATATACTACCCATTCAAAAGATAAATAATGGAAGACATTTTCTTAAGAAAGTATATATCGGGTTACACATCAACCACAGGCATGGAGATGTAAGATAGAAAGTATAAACGAAACAAAAGAGTATGTACTCACTTTTAAAAGCAAGAATATAGCACAAGAATAGGCATCTTCCGTCATGGATATAAATCCAAGGCTTCTGAGATCCTGAACAACCTTACCAACTTTCGAAATCCAAGCTTTCCCAACCAGTTTGCTTTCAAAAAGTACCGTCTCATGATGACTTTCATGATCCATTTCATCAATGGCAGAATAGAAGTGCTTATAATTGCTCTCTGTTCTGTTCTTATCTGGAAATAGTAGTTTGTCTCCATCCTCATTTTGTTCACTCATCACTAGACTTAACTCCTCCAATCTTTCCTTGAAGTACAATCGAAGTATCTCTGACAGAACGAAAGATAAAGACATTTACAAACTCTTGTAAAACACTTACGAATCAAATGACAGAATTTCCTCATAAGCAATAATGATATAATAAAAGGAACAATAGCTGAAGTAGTCACACGCAAGCAATGTACAAATTGAAACATAAAAATTTAATTCATAATTATCAGGATTGGGATCAGCATTGGGACTGGTTCAAGAATGGGATCGGAAGCATGGGATCGTGAAAGATTAGAAGGTCCCTAGGTGCAGCATCATCGTCGCTACACCCCAAAATTTTGGGATCGAGATCCCAATAACTTGGGGAGCTTGATCCTACCTTCCACAGATTTAATGATAAGTTCTACAAGATTGAGCTCCATCAGGTTAAAAAACGAGGTCCTTGACTGCACTTAACTAGGTTCCCTAAGTCGGGAGTGAAGGCCATATGATATTATATATACTAATTAATTTTTTAAGTTTCAAATTTTTATTAAAAATGTAAGAAACCCTATCATTCTATAGTAATTTATTATTTTTGTACTCCTTTGAGTGTAGATCATGTTTTAATTTAGTAATAAAAATTTTAAAGAAATTGAAAGTTTATAAAAAATTAAGAGAATGAAATCATTATATTAAATTTTGATTTTTCCACTCTTTAAGTGCAGTCTATGACTTTATGTAATGTAACAACGATCATGGTCATCCTTCTTGTTCAATACAAAGTATTAAGATAAGTATTAAGTTAAGCTCAAAAGGGATAGTATAGGCCATCACTAGCGAAAATTATGTGCGAACAAAACATGCAACTAAAATACTTAAAAATGTTAATCAATTATGCAAAATAGTTGTTACTCAACATTATGTTGAAGCTCAAGGTTGGAGCTTGTGACCTATTAAAGAAGGCCCAAGGGGCAATAGAGTCGACCATTAAGGTAATCTTGATTCCACATTGGTTGAATCTTAGTTTAGTTTGCCAATGAACCCCCCATACATGATGCGAGGAATTTGTGTCCCAACTCTCGTGTAACTTAGGATCTTGATACCTAATAGGAAGGATTGAGATCCTAAAGTTCAAAATTTGCAGAGGAGTGAGATCCCCCTCCATGGAGAACAGAAGCAAGCTTCTGGAGCGGGATTGATGCCTTGGTTCAGAGATCTCGGTAACTATGTCTTAATTTGAACTAGAAACTCTTGTAAAATCTTAACAATCAAACACTAATATCTTCTACAATCAGGATTTCATTAAAAAGGCACAAAGGAAATCAAACTTGAAAGTTTGCCATAAGCAATAGTGATTTTAATAAAGAGAAATGCTATAATTCAACAGGAAAATAAGGACAAATACATGTACAACAGAGGAAACACACATGTCTAAATCTTATAGTATATGCTTCACCATGAGTAATTGAAGAAATGAGTTAACTATTTTAATAATTTACGAGTACACGCATTACATCCAAACATGATAAAGAGTTCAAAACTACATTATTCTTCTTAGATAAAGTTGCCTGTATAATAATAGTTAAATGGCTCTTAAGATTGTGCACAAAAGAAATTGTCTAAGGTCCTACAGTGGCCAACCATAACAGAATGAGGCCATAGGAAATTGGTGTCCATAAAAGGACGTACAAAATGGCCCCAGGCAATCTGTCAGGGATGTAAAACTCTTGAGAAGACAAAAAGAAGGGCAACTTGGATAGGCTGAGGTAGGGGAGAGAAGTGACAAGGCTCTCGCTAATCGCCCCCTCTCTGACCAGGCAATCTACAGGGGCATTGCGTTCTCACCACACATGTCGAAATGTAATGTTGATGGTGTTCTGAGACGAAAAATCTATATGAACACTTGGTCAAGCCTCCACGGATGAACCAGTTAGCCCAGTTCATAATGTTTTTGGAGTCCCCCTTAACCAAAACGGCAGAACCCCAACCAAAGTCAAATAGCTTGAGACTTGTGAGGTGTGCAGAGGCTTTAGCGTTTGTCAAGGTGGCGACACTGATCGCAGTGAAAAAGACAAGATGAAGGATCCTTGGCTATCCTTGCAAGCACCCCCAATCCCAGCAAGGCCAAGGTTATCAAGGAAGCATCCATCGAAGTTGAGCTTCATGCAACCTGGCCCTGGAGGATCCCAGTGGGAGCATGTAGTTGGAAGGATCTGGTTTGTCCTCACAATAGCCCCCTAATATAACAGAAAGTCTAAGGAATTGAGACCTTTGAATTCTTTCCACTAAGTTTCTCAGTATTTCAAAAAGCGCTACGTGACACGTGGGGGTCCAGGCTGCCCAAAACGTGGGCGGCCTAGTTGAAAAAAATAAGTAGATAGAAGTCAAGAAGAGATGACCATAATCCATATTTTCATACAATGCTAAAACAATAAAACCATACAAATATACACTGATAGTCTGATGCACACAAAACTTAGATAGTAGAAACTAGAAAGTATAAGTAAAAATAAGAAAAAGAAAATATACAAAAATTCAGAAAATATACAGTCTAGAACACAATAGTCAATACTCAACAGTCAACACTCAACACCAACAGTCAAGCACTCGAGCGTCTTCAACTCTTCATTTTTCAGTCATTATCATCAGGCAGAATAGTGTAAGCCTCATCATTGCATCAAATTCGAGGCCTTCATCATCAGAGTCATCTCTCTTTTCAATATAACACTCGTCCTCCTCTGTTTCTTCTGAATCTGTATCTTCCTCCTCTTCTTCTACCTCCCTCTTACTATGTGCAGATGAGGCCCTAGGAGTCTTGGCTGCTCTACCCTTTTCGATTTTTTTGTGCTTCCCTGAACTTAAATATTGTATAATCTCCTCCCTGGTAGCCTTAGGAACATTTTTACATGGGGCAACATCCCCATTAATACCGGTAAGGTGTTTTTTGAATAGGTAAATACTTCCATTAGTATTTTTTCCACAATAAATCTATTTAATATGATTTTTGCCATTCGGATTCGGGTTATAACCATACTTCGAGTAACCACTTCTAGAAGAATCTTGAGAAGATATTTCCATAGAACAATGCTCATTTTTATCCTTTTTTGGTTCTTCTAAATTCAAAAATCGTCTAATCTCATCGCGAATAACTTCAAGAACTTTTTTACAAGAAGCAACATTCTCTTTAATATCGGCAAGATGTTTCTTGAATCGGTTAATACCCACATTGGTATCTTTTTCACAAAAATTACACCTAATACAATTTTATCGTTTGGTTTCAGGTTATGACCATACTTCCATCCCGGATCACTTCTTCTAAAAGAACCAAAAATAAATCCATTCAAATGACAAAGATTTTGTTCCTGTTTTTATTTTACAAAACTCATATATTGTTTAATCTCCTCTCTAATAGCTTCGAGAACATTTTTACAATGGGCAACATCCCCCTTAATACCGACAAGATGTTTCTTAAACCGACTATGCCGCCTTTTGTATCTTTTTCACAATAATTGCATCTAATGCATTTTTTATCATTTGGATTCGGGTTATATCCATATTTTCAAGCTGGATCTCCACTTCGACTAGATCCTGGAGAAGACATCTCAAAATAAAACAAGCAATCTAAAAAATAAAGTTTTGCACTAACTTTGATTGCTCGAACTCCAAAGCCCCACCTTTAAAAATGTTTTCTTGTGCTAAAATATTCAAAAACACCCTCTAATAGGATTAAAAAACTCCAAAACTAAATCTAATCTACCTAGGTGATGTTTGGATCCATTTTTTGTAACTTTGAGAAATACTTCGGTTATCAAATTCCTTGCTTTTGCAACGAATGTATCGGTATACCTCGATTTTTTGTTTGTCAACTGTAATTTTTTAGTAAATGGTAAACTAGTTAAAAATTTGCATTTTAGGAGGGAAGGTAAGATCCAGGCCATGCTAGCAACCGACTGAGTGGGGCTGACCCCCCTGATTTCATGGTAGAAATACCATACTGAAAAGATACCAAATGAATTGGGAACTCAAAGCAGCCAATCCCACTCCCAACCAGGGTGAAAAATGCTTCAAGAGAAGAAAGAAGGGACTTGAATTGCGGCTCTACATCCAAAAGGTCCCATTTGAATCTAGGGGACCAAACCTGCCTGCCTGCTAAAAGTTCCAGGGAGTCTGAGACCTTACTAGTTCAATCCATGGCTAGGAGGAACAGGTTGGAAATGATCTCAAGGCAGGCATCAACCAGCAATTCGTCCTTCCCATACACACCTTGCTTCCAGTTTTGGGCAGCAATTGAAAATTTAGAGCAAAAGGAATATAAGCTGAGACAATTTCTTTTCACACTCCCAACATAAGAAAGTTTACAACTTTAGGGAGCCGTCCAGAATTATTGAGGCCATACTTTTGTTGGATGACTAACCTCCTACCTCCATAGTTGGTTCTCTTGGACGGTGAAACACCACAATCATTTACCCAGCAAATCGTTGTTCACATCTTTTAAAGATCTGATGCCCAGGCCATCTAGAGCCTTTCAATTCGCAAACTTTTTCCCAAATGACAAGATGATAGTTGTGGTTATCCCCAGTGCCGATAACAGGAATTCCCTCATAACTTGTTCAAGCCTGTTAAAAGTTGACGTTGGCATATGAAAGAGAGCCAGGTGGAAAACAAGGATGCCTGAGAGTGTAGCTTTGAGCAAGGTGGCTCTAGCCCCTAAAGACCGGAATTGGCCTTTCCAAGAGGCCAAGCGCCTCTTGAATCTTTCCATGACCCCATCCCATTTGTATTTTCTTGATCTACCAATACACAAGGGCAGCCCAAGATACTGACCAGATAGAGAGTCCACTCTACATCCTATTCTTTTGGGTAGCTTTGAGACTGAAACACTTCACAAGGCAAGTTCAAAGAAATGAAGAAATAATCATAGCTGGTCATTTGTGGAGGTAGGCTCGTAAAAACACTTAAGTGTCATCTGCATACTGTAAGTCTGAGATGGGAGGACCTTTGCCAAAAACTTGAAGACTTGCAAGATATTGTTGTCAAATCAGTTGGAAATGGCTTTGCTGAAAAAGTCAGTGAAAATAACGAAGAGGAAAGGATGGAGGGGTCCACTTGGTGAAGACCCTCATGGCTTGTAAGGCCTTTGGGCACTGCCATCGGTAAGGACTGAAAAGGACGGCGAGGATACCTGGTCTAAAAAATGTCAATCACATGGTGGTAGGCTTTCTCCCAATACAATTTGGGCATCAAGCCAGGGTTCTTAGTCTGAAATCTATGGTGGACGCACTCATGAGCAATTAGAACACCTTAAAAGATTTTGCAACCTTTAACAAAGGCACCCTAGTTAGGTGAAATAAAAGAGGCAAGCAACCTTCTAAGTGCTGTAGCTAGGACCATGGCAAGTTTCTTATAAGTGATGTTTAACAGGCTCATGAGCTGAAGCAGCCACTTCAATCTTAGGAATCAAGGCAATGGAAGTGGCCTTCATTCCCTATGGAATGCTTCCACAATGGTAAAATTCATCAAAGAAGCCCACGATATTTGGGGCTTGGGAGTCCTAGAACTAGTTGAACAGTGCCACTGGGGAACCGATAGGCCCAGGAGCGTTATCCTAGCCCAGCTCTGCTATTGCTGACCCGATGCCCTGTTCTGAGAAGGGCACTTCCAGGGAGGCAGCCTGGGTCGTAGACAACATATGGAAACTCAAATTCTGGAGCCCATGTCTCGGTAGGTTCTCGGCTTTGAATAGTCTCTTGTAGAAATGTGTAAATAGAGGTCAGATTATATGAGCTCATGACAAGGCCCTCGTGGTTTTTGACACCTAAACGAAAGGAAATGATTACTAATATATTCATTTTTCACAAGTTCATACGATACCAATCACAAATAGAAAAAATATATGGATAATGGTGAGAACCGGCATTTGAAGAGAAGAAAGCGAGGGAAGACCTGCTATTCAAAAACTGATTCAACCTTAAGGCATGCTATAGTCAAACATTTATGAGAAGTTGCAACATAAATAGAGGTATCTAATTCACATACCAGGAAAGTAACGAGGAAGCATCGTCAACAAAATGGAGGCCACCATCAAATGATATCTAGAGAGAAGGTCTACAGTTGTGCTTTTCGAGTCTGATGCCTTGGCCTGTCTGCCTTTACTGCCTTGGGGAGCTTGAAGGGCACGTAATAAAAAGGACAGGCACTTCTCCTGAAACAGTTTCTCTGAGGAAATTTCTTCCAATGATTCGTGTAGAGCTTCTCGTACCCAATCATCCTGGATCAAGTACCATAAAATTTTGATCAGGAAAAAATAAAATTGTGAAAACACACAACATAACTTGGTACAAGAACAACTCAAAATATTCAAGTTCATATCTCAAAGGATCCACTGAACATAGAGTAAGGTCACCGTTTGTCAAGAGTACCCTAAAGAGCAATCCAGACCAAAGCATCAAACCAAATACCACTTCACATATGTGTATAAGAATAACTTTTGTACATTTAGATTTGTAGGAAATGTTTCTATTGTTCGTGTGAGATCTAGCTCTTTATCCATCATATTGTGCCATAGTATGCACAGGATTCAGACAAATTATAAGAGCTGAAATTTCTGCTATTTTCAAAGTAGAAGTATGAGAAGAAACAAATCATTAGGGCTGCAACAGAAACAGAAAAAAAATGCAATAGAGAGAAAAGAATCGCATCTTCATGATCCAAGATGGTACATTTTCATGTTCATACAGGATAAGGCCATATAGAGTAACTTGCGTCACCAGCAGTCCAAAGTCTTAAGGCGAATTTCATTTTCAATAGCACTTCAACAGATCTAGTCCACCAGCAAAGGCCACACGGCAACATGTGACCCAGCCATATGATGTTTGTCATATAATTTGTGAGCTTAGCATGTTTCTAAGTAATTAAAAGCAGATCGGTAATTGATGTTCTAGATGGGTTTTGCAATTAACATATCATATCAATCAGGACAAAAGGTATCCACTGGTAAGCAAAGTTCAAATCGAGTATTAATAAGCACTTCAGCCTTAATGGAGGTATCCAAATACTTCCATGTTATACCATGCCTGCTCAAATTTCTCGTTATTTTGAAGCAAACAAACAATCCAACAGATTATCAATAACTGATATCATTCCATGCTATTTGTATGATGGTTATCCTATTTCCTATACTTACAGTGGCGACGTTTGTCTCACGCACCACAAAATCACTGTATGCATCAAAATGCCTCCAAAACTTAGCCACGCTATTTGTCCTAAATGTTTCCTGCAATTGCAATGTTGATTTGGAAGCATAAGAACTGCGTCCCTTGAGAGAAGACATGAAACATAAATGAAATATTGAGGCTATTGACACGAATTCGGTGCTACTACTATAAAGTGTTTGAACAAAAAAGCAGCAGTTTGAATCGCTTAAGAAACTTGATCCCGTTGTGCACCAAGAAAATTGATAAAATTCAATATGCTATGTAGCACCGAGGAAAAGAAAACAAAACGTCAAACGGTCATAAAAATGTAAAATAAAATAAAATATAATTGATTGTCGGCGTGCATGCTGCAAATTTTGATGTTCAATTCTTATTGAATAATAAATGAAACCCCATAATATTGTAAAGTTGTAAAATGAACGAATTTTTCTTGTATATTTGTGTGACTCGCTGTAATTCCCAAAACAGATGAATTGACAAGTGATCTAAAAATATGTTAAAATTCCAGACACTGAGGAAGGAAAGCCACGAATTCGCGAACCTAAATAATAAATAAAACCATCTGCAAACTACATTGCCTAGGTCATACTGCATACCTCGAGAGCTTGAAGAAAGTAATCCTGGACCAGAGATGATAAACCGTGCTTGGATAGAGCACTTACAAACGCAACAAACTCCGACTCCTTGAATGGATCGTTCTTATCTTGGAGGAGCTTCTCTGTAACGATGCAGAAACCGCTCCAATTGTGCGTAATCTCGTTAATGGCATCTCTATCCATTGTGGGAAGAAGCCTTTGATCATGGCTCGATGCCCTTCCCGCCATTGTTAGAGTTGATCGCAAGGTCTCTGTGAACTTATGGTGATCGATAATGGCTTCGAGGGTTCAATCGCCTTTTTGAAACCCTATAATGGTTTCCCGCCCAGAAAGAAGCTCGTGTTTTAGACTTTTAGTGACCTGGGCTGGAGTTGGTACTTGGGGGCACCGGTTATAGAATTTGTGCCATCCCAAAGCCAAAAAATCAATTTACCAATAAAGTAAATAAATAATTCCAATGCAGCGTACTCCAAAACTTCAAAAAAAAATTTGTTTCATGAAACATCCATCTAGCTTGTTCCAGTGTGGATGGGCTATGGTTTAAACATCAATTTTATGGGATAATTTCAATTTTTCATTCATTATTGCAAACATCACCCTCCCTCCGATCAAGGTTCCAAATAAATTAACAAACACGTTATTTCCCTTAAAATACTCACAGTTCTAGTGTTCTACCTTCTCAAATTCCATAGTTGAAAATTCCATACATACGCCAATGACTCAACTAAATGGACTTTTGATCGCCTCTATTTCGCCCACACTCAGCGGACTCAATACCCTTATCCCAAAATGGTAAAAAGGATAGTTACAAGTCTAATTTTTTTCTGTACGAGGAGGTCACAATCATTTTTAGCTATTGGATGTGAAATTCAATTGATTGGATTCTGTAGGTTGATCTTATGTAAGGCAGAACCAATATGAAGTGCGAGTTAGTTTGAGTAGAATGCTTAAAAAAATACTAGTGGTAAGTCCAAAATGACATGGTTGGAAGTAGTGAAAAAAATATATGAAGACTTGTGATCTCATCAAGGTATAATTTTTAATAGAGCATAATGGTAGACCAATATCGTGTAACCAATCATAATTAATTGAAAAAAGACCATAATGACGACGATGTGAAATCAAATTGATTTAGACTTTATGCCCAATCAATGTCATATCCGTACTAGCCGATTTCATATCTAACAGTCAATAATAATTATGTCATCTTGTATCAAAATTAATGATCTCGTTATATTTCCAAAAGTAAATCCAAAATTTCAAAGTTGCCAATGAAATATAGATTTCCCACACCTACCATCGCTGACAATTATATTCAAATGTCTTCTCTCCCATTTACAGTTTAATGTAGCTAGGGTGGTTAATGGACTAGACCCAGCATGTGGGTTCACTGGCCAAAACCACTTTCGGACCAGTTTTGGGGCAAATACTAAGACCCATGGGAGCTGGGTTGATAGGCCCAATTTTTTGGAGCTTGAATGGCTCGACCAACGCTCAACTTGAAATTGTATGAATTGTATAATAAAATAAATATTTTCCTATATTCTTAGGAAAAAGTTTATATAAGGGCCAGGCCCCAACCAATGCCCAACCTGAAATTGTACGAATCATAAAATAAAATAAATATTTTCCTATATTTCTACAAAAAAGTTTATGCAAGGGCGAGGCCCTAAAATTAAGGTACACCTAAAAAATCCCATAGAAAAGGTTATTTCGATGCCCAAAAATGCTCAAATCGATCATATCAACCTCAAGATGTATAAACATGGGGGAAAATAGATTCAAAACATGAAAACAGTCGATCTTAGTTTTAGACCATCAATTTTTAATATTTTTCAAGTGTTCATATATCTGCTCAATGTCCACTATTTTTGAAGCTTTAAACTTTATAATTAGATATAAAAATAAATTTTCAAGCCATCATAAAGATCCATGGTACTAAAACATATTTGAACACTATTTAAAGGTGCACCTTAATTTGATTGATTAGGCCCTCAGCCCTATGCAAACCACACCTATAGGCGTGAGCATTTTTTTCTTTCTTTTTTCGATGCTGAACTTGGGCGAGGGCTTAGGCCGTGGTCTACTTGGCCCGGGCTCAAAACCTTGTTTTCGAACCCAGGCTGTAGTTTGCATGGCATCGGACCAGAACTGTCCCGGGCCGAACCCAGACTGTCAAAGCAGGACACATCTGTCATGCCATTTTTGCTCCCTCTCTTACGCTGAGAAAGAGCATGGCGCCTAAATTGATTTCCCGCCATTCAAAATATCATCCATTTTCAAATTCAAATTGAGTTTTAATAACAATACTCGCTCGCGGGTCTCCAAAAGTGCTTCATATCAATTGTCAAATCTCACTTCATTTTCTAACGCCCCTCTCTCTCTCTCTCTCTCTCTCTCCTATTCTCAAATTTTACTTCATCTCCAACTCTCTGTTTCTCTCTACACTCCCTTCCCTGATATCACTTTCCTAGGGTTAGGGTTTTGACCCAAATCACATTTCTCAATGGATAGGAAAAAGGGAAACATATATTTGCAGGCCTCTCTCACTGCAATCTCCGCAATGGTTGCAGAGACCGCCACTTTCCCTATTGATATCACCAAAACCAGGCTCCAATTATACGGAGAGTCCATTTCTGCTGCTTCTCGTGCTCATGCATTTCGAACCGCCATTGATATAGTCAAGGGAGAAGGGTTGATGGGTCTCTACAAGGGTTTGTCACCTGCTCTGATTCGCCACCTTTTCTACACTCCTATTCGAATTGCGTGCTACGAAAATTTAAGAAATGCAGCTCCAGAAGGGAATAAAGCTCTCATTGGAGGGGTTTCTGGTATTTTAGGTCAGGTAAGTTATCACAATTCTGAATTTTCTTCATTTTCACATTTGATGTGGAGAATTGAAGCTGGTTCTGAAACTTTATTATGAGAAAAGAGGGTCAAAAAATGGAGAACTAGGCAATCGAACTGATTATCTGTTTACTCATTTGTTTATTGCTATAATTCAACTAATGATTACGGGAAAACTAAACTATCACAATCAAATAATTTTCAGAAATACAATGTGGCTTTTTATTATTTCCATAGAAATGAAATTACGAAGGAAATTCCTTTTTAGTGGAGGTGTAGATAGTAAATTACATTTTATTGCTGATAAGATAATTGCAGCTTTCATTAATATGATAATTTGTATGTTTACAGGGGACATTTCCCTTTCTTTTTCTTTTTTTTTTCCTTTCATTTTGCTGTTCCATTATGAAAACCAGGTGTTATTCTACTGGTTTTTAGATGGTCCTTTAATCCTAACTATCATTTTCCGAATAATGGTTACTGGCCTAAAATATTGTTCTCTTCTTGCGGCCAACCAATCGCCCTTCTTATTTGAATATGGGGTGTTTTTGAAACGAGTTGTATCAGCATTTTCTTCACATGTTGGAAGACCAGAATCTTTCATCTCTACTCTCTTTTTATGTCTCTCTCTCACATGGATGGATCTTCCTTGAATTTCAAGAGAGTGAAGTTTCAGGGTATCTTGAGTATTTGATTATTGTTGATTTCTAGTGTGAAGTTTTTTTTTTTTGTATTGTCCATGAGAAAGGGTATTTGTGATTGTCCTAATGGAATTACAGATTGTGGCAAGCCCAGCAGATCTGATTAAGGTAAGGTTACAAGCAGATGGTCGGTTAGTGAATCAGGGTCTCCAGCCTAGGTACAAGGGGACTATGGATGCCCTCATCACCGTTGTGAGGATCGAAGGTTTTTGGGGCCTCTGGAAAGGCGTTTTCCCCAATGTTCAGAGAGCATTTTTGGTGAACATGGGGGAGTTGGCAATCTATGACCATGCTAAACAACTCATTCTTAGAAAGCAAATTTGTGATGATAATATTTATGCACATACCCTCTCATCTATTATGTCTGGTCTTTCTGCTACCACTCTGAGCTGTCCTGCTGACGTAGTGAAGACTAGAATGATGAACCAGTCTACTCACAGAGAATGCACAGCAGTTTATAGGAATTCATTTGATTGTCTGATGAAGACAGTGAAAATAGAAGGCATATGGGCATTGTGGAAGGGGTTCTTTCCTACATGGGCAAGGCTTGGTCCTTGGCAGTTTATGTTTTGGGTTTCTTATGAAAAGCTCCGGAGTCTAGCAGGCCTTTCATCATTTTAGTGGATTTTTTGTAACCTTTTACTGTAGCAGCAAATTGTAATCTCTACCCAGATCATATTTATTGCTAAAAGTTTATGTCAGGCAAACATTTTTGAATTTTATTGTTCAGGCTGTATTGTTTTACTGTTGAGTCGCACAACAGAGAATTCACGGGTGCAACAAGTATCAACAAACAGGAAAACACAACTCATATAGAACAAAAGCACATCAATTTTCAAGAGAGTGAAAATATTTTTATTTCACTTTTTATTCAACACACTTACAAAGAATTGCCTTCTCTATAACTTTACGCACGTACCAGTGTACCTATTTATAAACTCAAGTAAAAGGATAAACACTAAACCTCTCCTTTGTCCTATGATGGTGCAAATCTATCCATATGCATTCTCATCTTCATGTACAACAAAATCTTATCCTTGTCAAACCCACAGTTACCCTAATCATTTAAAACTTCTCAATCCTTATCATTCAGGATTCCTATTAATCCTACAAGATGTAGCACATATCGAATTTAAATTCAAGACTCTTATCCTAACTACCTTGAGCTCCTAACCAGCCCATCCCCTCATACTTCATTCAATTTTGATTAAGTTTCTGTGAAATGCATGTCTTTGCCTGTGGGAAATTAGTAAAGTGCGAGAAATGCAATTCTTTATTTCACTTAAATTCTGTGTAGCCTCTGGTGACTGGTGTGAGCTTTTAGTCCATTTTCAGGACACTCGGACCTCCACAAATGTCAGGTGGTGCGCGCTTATTCCACAAGCACCAACCAGCAGTTCTCTCATCTTAGAAACAAAACATCCCCACCCCACCCTAGGTTTGCCAAGTGTGGGGCAGAAGACCCTGTCAATGGCTTGCACTAGCCCAAGGGGCCTCGGGAGGTATTTGGGTCACATAGGACCCCACACTCCATTCCCTATCCTCCTCAGTGTTTGCCCTCTTTACGGTCGCAGCCTCCCTAATCAGAGTTGCAGATGGCTTCCCATGGAAGTTTGCTGTGGTATATGGCTCAGAAACCTCCTCTAGGAGGAGCTAGATGATATTGCCACCCTTCACCCCTCTCCTTGGTGCATTGGAGGTGACTTCAATGTCGCTAGATGGTAATTTGAAAGAAATTCCAATCCAAGGACTACCCCATGTATGCATAATTTCTCCAACTTTTTTTCCAGACACAATCTCTTAGACTTACCTCAGGGCAATGCCTTTACCTGGTCCAGCCATTCGACCTTGCCTTCTCTGTCCCAGATAGACCGCTTCTTAGTTAGCCCCGAGTGGGACGCTTCCTTTCTCTGCAGCCCTCCCGAAGCCAACAGCAGACCACTGCCCCATTCTGCTCAACACATTGCCGGTCCCCAGAGGTCCCAAATGGTTTAATTTCAAAATGTCCTGGCTTGAAGAACTTGAAATCCACTCCCTTATCCCTCAATGGTGGCTATCTTTCTCAAACATGGTCCAAGGGTGGGCTGGATTCAGCCTCCAAAGCAGCCTCTAACTCCTAAAGGCGGCCCTCAAAACCTAGAGTACCCAACTTCCAGGGAACTTTAAGACTTAAAAGGAAATCACCTTGCAATCCATCATGCACTGGGACCAAATTGAAGAGGCTAGAGTCTTAACTCTGGCATAATGACAACAACGAACTCAAACACCTCTACCAATCCCTCCTCCACAAGAAAGACATCTATTGCCATCAACGGTCCAGAATCAAGTGGCACAAGTGCGACGACCTCAATACTGCAGTCTTCACCTTTACCAATCCCTCCTCCACAAGAAAGAGATCTATGGCCATCAACTGTCCAGAATCAAGTTGCTCAAGTGCGGCGGCCTCAATACTGCATTCTTCCATAGAATAGTAAACTGCAGATGCCGTGATAACACAATCAATTTTGTCTAGCAATGCAATCTTGTTCTGGACAGCCCCCATCTTGCTGAGCAAACTATCATCGAATTCTTTAAAAATCTCTTCTCAACGCCCCCAGGGTCCCACCATGGATGACCTATCTTTTCTCTCCTTACCCCACAACCTGGCACATTGGATGGACTGCCCCTTCTCGGAATGAAAGATTCTCAAAGCTGTCCACGACCTCGGTCATGACAGAGCCCTTGGGCTTGACGGCTACCCTGTGGCCATCTTCAAAACCTTTTGGGAACCTGTGCTCTCATTCTTTGAGGAATTTCATGCCAGAGGGACAGTCCATAGAGCCGTGAACGCAACCAACATAACCCTCATCCCCAAAAAGGAAGGGGCTGAAGAGATAAAGGACTTTAGGCCAATCAGCCTGATTAATAGTTCTTACAAGTTGCCAACTAAAGTCTAGCCTTTGAACTTAGTGTTTATATTCGAAAATTTCAGCAGAAGTTGTGGCCTCCGCCTGGTTTTCGGGTCTAAACACGTCAAGAGAATGGGTCCCATCAAATTGTGATTTGAGTGAGAGACTAGCCACGAGACCGCCCTTGCATGGATCATTGGCAGTGCCGGCTTCTAACACGACCACACAGGAAAATGGGGTTTTTCGAGAAGGAGAGGGGGGTTTAGAAAAGGTTTTCAAAATACAGGGAAAAACAATGGGGGCATAACTTAAGCCGGGCTCCTAGGCCCTGCACTTGGAGCCAGTGCTAGTTTAGGATCAATACTGGTTTGCCGATTGTCTCCAAGCTTTCGGGGTCCACTAGGCCAGGCGATCGAAGGTTGATGCGCTTGTGCGGATTCAAGAACGTGAGATTTTTATGTTTGGGCATGCTGGGTCTCGGTCTATAGGGTCTGAGGAAACTAGGTTTAGTGCGGGGTCTAACAAGTCCGGTTTCAATGCGGCAGAGTCTGGGCGTGATTTTAGAAATAGGTCCTCAAAATGGGGGGGTTGACCCCTATTTATAGACATATGGTCCCTTTACCATCCAAAATCAGAGGTCAAATCTGGGCCATTCGGTACTTACACTAGTGATGGGCCCACCAAGGCTACCAACCATATCACTACATTTTGTTGCCTCTAAAATATTTGAAAATCTAGATGCTAATAGTGACATTGATCCATTATGATTACTGGTTGCATAAGACGTAACTCCGTAATTTATGGTCGATGTGATTTTGGGTGATGGTGTGTTAGATGGCCGACAACACTACTAGCAGTGTTGGCACTACTACTGGTGTTTGTACATTCAAATTTGGCCAGGACGTGGCTGTTTATAGAGTCAACATTGCTACTACCCTCGCTGAGGCATGATGGTTACATTCCGCCGCAATCCGGCCGTCCCGAGATTTGACAATAAGCGGTGGTTTAGGCTAATGTGGAATTGTTGTTGCTGATGCCCACGTTCAATGATGGTGCCCCCATCGCTCACATAATGATGGTTACTTTTCACTTCATTTCAAGAATTTCAATGTCAAGCGATTACCGGCAATTTGAGCCAATCAGGAATCGATGTTGCTGATGCCAACATCCAACGATGGTGTCCCTATCAGCCATGTAATGATGGTTACTTTTAGTCGTAGTTTGAGAATTCTGACGTCAGGCAATTGGAAGCAATTTGGGCCAATCAGGGTTCAATGCTGCTGGCACCAGTGTGGTGACTTGAGCCGCCGTCTTCTGCATGTTACTGGCCATGTCATCGACACTGGTGTCCCCTAAGCCACGCTTACACTCTGGCGAGGCGACCCCCTGGCTTTGGTGCTGCTTTTGGGGTCGTTGAGTCTAGGCTGGTTTCCCCTTCGATTTCGAGCGGTCTGTTAGGGGTCCTGTCGGGGTTCCAGTTTCAAGTCCGACTTTTTATGTAGGACGATACTAGCGGTCTGGTTGTTAGGGTACTAGTTTTGGGATTTTAGGTGGTTATGGGGTTCATGGTGGCAGTTTTGGGGCTGATCAGGGTGTCTACACTTGGGTTTGCTTGGTAACTAGAAGGTAAACATACATTGGAAATTGGAAGTTCTTATTTGTTTGGAAGAAAGAAGATCTCAAAGGAAGTTTTGGGTGTATGTGTTTGATAACCTGCTGGAATGTTAAAGAAGTTCTAGGTACATGTGTTTGACAACCTGTTGAAATATTGCATGAATATATATATTATATATAATACAAATATATATTAATAATTTAAATATAAATATATAATATAACATAACATAACATAATATATAATATAGTGTATTTTATATTTATTTTATTAATATATATTTGCTATGTAATACTATAAATATCTATTACATAATAAAATAATAATATATTTTATTATATAATAGAAATATATATTGATAATTTAAATATATTACATATATAATATACATAATATATAATATAAATATAAATATAAAATATAAAATATAATATAATACAATATGTAATAAAAATAATATAATATAAATATAAATATAAATATAAATATATAATATAATATAGTACAATATGATCTACTACAAATATAGATATAAATATAAGTAGGAAGGCAGAAGAGGGTTTGAGTAAGAAGCCATGTTCAAGGGCCAAGTTCCTATTTTAAGTTCCATTATTTTAGATGGAACTTTTTTTCTTAAGCACATGGAAGTAAGGAAGTTATGGGGGAACTTCTTTATTGTATAAGTTCCATGCATCAAACGCGTAACTTATACAGTAATGGAGAAGTTCCTTCTTCCTCCTCTTAACTGTCTGTTATCAAATATGCCTTGGAGAAGTCCTAGGCTTGGTTATCTCCCCTAACAAGGAGCCTTCGTCAAAGATAGGTAGATCCTCGATGGTGCTCTCGTGGCCCATGAAAGTATCCGTGGCAGACATCCCTCTAAGGTGTCGAGGGTTGTAATTAAACTGGATTGCTTATGACCATGTCGACTAGGCCATACTCAATGAGAGCTTAGGTAAGATAGGACTTGGGGTCCACTAGAGAAAGTGGATAAAAGTCTGTATTTCTACCCCCTACTTCTCAATCCTCATCAATTGGTCACTTAAGGGTTATTTCGCCTCTTCTAGAGGTCCCAGGCAAGGAGATCCCCTCTCCCCATTTCTCTTTGCCATAGTGGGTGAAGTTTTCAGTAGGTCAGTGGAAAGGTTGTATGCTCATGGGCTAGTGGAAGGCTTCCAGGTGGGAAGAAACAGACTAAAATCACTCATCTGCAATATGCCA